AGAATTAATATGATATGAAATCCAAAGTATCAGCAATTAAATGTTAACAAAATTAGTTACATTGATATCCAGAACATATGAAGTTATAAAGTAGGCAGCTTACCACTTRTGTTCACGTTCACAGGCAGATCAGCTTCCTTTGAATTGATCTTTGCTTTGTCTTTCTTTACTTTTAGGTCCTCTTCTTCTTTCTGCTCCAACACCTTCAACTCTTCATCCACCTTGAACCTGCAAGTAATAAAACCAAAATGTGTTGTTATTTAAATACTTCAAAGGGTTATGAGACACTGCAAATATGTAATAAAGTTTTTATTATTTTATTTTGAGAGGGTAGCACGTAATAGTCAAGAGACTAATAAACTTGTGGCCCTCTATATACACCTAATTGAAGAAACGTTGTCGGGTCCAAAAAGGTCAAATCATAGAAGCTAAGACCGAAAGGGTACTTGGGAAGACAAACAATTTGGCTAATTCATAACAAACAGGTCTCCAGCATAAAAGACTATCATGCTGTTAATCTTACTAGCTCTACTTGCTTAGTGTACACCGTATATGCAAATGTAATYCCAATTTAGTGGTACTCAAAATCCCTTTCTGTCTTAGCTTCTATGATGTGACCTTTTCGAACACCACTACGTTTTTTCAATTAGGTCTATTCACTCATACTCACTACCTCAACATTCATTATTTTACTACACGACACTCCTCACAGCTAGTTTTTGACTGAGGGACCTGCAGACCTGGAGAAAAACACTCGGAGCAAGGAAGAGATCCAGCCTACAAACTCAAATCACATATAGTCCTGGACCGGGAATCGAACCAGGACCACAGCRGTGATAGACCGGSGTTTTAACCGCTCGGCCATCCTTGCTCCCCACACTGTACTACAGTAGCAGGAAATTACCAAAAAACAAACAATCTAGATTAAGTTCTTCAGTCTACAACAATGCAGGGTTTATTAAGAAATATGAAATGACGTGCCTGCTCTCTGATATAAACATGGTGRGAGTTGAAAAACACAAGAGAGCAAGCTTATAAACATGAGCATAGCGAGAAATTTTGTTGGTGAGGTGTGTCTCTGTCCTCTGATATATATATACAGTCGTCAGCCAATCAGATAGCTCATTATMTTAAAAAAAAAATACATTTGGATTTTTATAGAGGGTACACATATTCAGCCTCTAGGTTGTGATGTGATTTTTAAAATAAGCTATCCTATTCTATCCTATAAATAAAAAAATATGAAACTAACTTATCCCAGTCATGATATYCTCTTGGTGCTGCTGATCGTTTGCTTTTGCCTCTTGCATGATTTGAAACCTGTGCAAAACAATGACAACTAGATATTATTGCTAGTCAATCAAATCAATCTTCCTCCTCGTACCTAGTGACGCACAGGGCCTTAAATGATTACAAGCGCAAGCACATATCATGTTGCAAGTGCAATTGTACAAAAGTACATATCCATCAATTGCCATCGCAAATTAATATTTAAATATTCTTGGTATGCTACTATACAAAATCTGTTTTAAATAAAATCCTTTTACCTGAGCAGCATCCAAGGTTGTTGAACCCACAGTCTTTGACGATCTGATTGGAGGAAGATTGTCAGTATTGGGTGAAGATTTGTCACAATTCTTCTTTAGTTGTGAATCCTTGCTGCTTATTTCAGAGATCCAGTCCTTGAAATCACCAGTAAGCTCATCTCTCTCACTGCTGTCCAAATCTCTGTATGACTGAACAGGGACATCTTTACGCAGGATTTTACTGATCAATAAAAGATGGATTTAGTTACATTAATTTGTTTTCAGTTTGGAGTCATTTGATTGTCAAATATTACGAWCACCATGATTACTCTSAACCAATCAGAACTTCAAAARCATTTGCATATCKTCACACAAGTGRCTTTTAAATCACAGACCATAATATGTATTATTCATTTGCAAACCTTTTAGGGTTGATGCTTTCCAGCTGTTTCTCTGCAAATGTTATTAACTCAGGGTACGTCCCTTCTTCTCCAGACCTGTACATAACATATAATAACACACACCTACCAGATCAGTCTCACCCCTACCCCCATTGTATCATGGAGTAACCTGGTTGACTCCTTTGTTAAAGAGACACTGTCAATGGCACGCATGCGCGAGTAAACTTGAAAACATTAGGCTAGTGTTTTCAAGTTTATGACTCCAAGTTGGCACGACATAAATCAGCTCATAAACGTAAACAAATCTAGAATATTCCAAAGAGTGTCAAAAGCACCACAAAATGATTTACCTCGAAGGTAATACTTTCAAAGTCCGTTAGAGGTGAGACTGTTACTGCACATGTCATCCATTGACAGTGTCCCTTTGATATTATAATTATCTAAGATCCAAGGAGTCTTTAGGATCAAACTGACATAACAAGACTTCTTCACAAGCAACCATATTTTTTATCTTATGTTTCTAAAATACTTGCGGGGGAGGCTATAGGGCAGGGTCTTCATTACAAGGTGTTAGTTGTGCTTTTTGGGACAGAGAGCCCAAATGTACAAAAGGCAAGGAGGAATTAGTAAAAGAGTTTGAGAAAAACTACATACACTTTGCAACTAACCTTAAGACTTTAACAATCTTCTCTAGCTCTGAAGARTTGGTACATTTCCCAATATAGCTGTAATCCAAATGTGACAGTGGCATACCAGATGCTGTCAAGCCAAACATTGCATTTGTGCCGTCTGCTGCCATATTGGATATTACCTGCAATGATCAACATAATGGTTTATTAGCTTATTATTTTAGTTCCATTCAGACTTCTGCTTAACCAGCATTACGTGCACTTCAGCATCAACCTTAGTCTCCTTTGCAGGCTACTCCTAATGAAAGAAAATGAAATAGATTTTTTCCCTCCTTGGTCTTCCTGTGTTGATTTATCCTTCTCCTTCCTAACCCCTCCCCCCTCTGGTCTATTTTCTGCCTTAAATCATGAATTCTGCAGAATAGAGTTGTGTGCGAAGGAGTCTACATCAGCCTATCATTTATGGTGTCCAAATTATTGCTGCAAGCGAAGCGAGTAGCCCCCTATTCGAACACAGTGTTGATTCAAGGATGTCCCTAACAGAACACATGGTACATACGATCAGTGGTTCAAATCCATACAGTGTCGAGAGTCGATTCAAGGATGTTCCTAACAGAACACCCCATACACACGGTCAGTGGTTGTACGAGTTTGGCTTGTGATTGAATTGCATTATTTTTTATACTATTTACATGTCAAGGTCACGTTTATTTATTTGTATTCATCAAGGTCAATAAATGTTTTAATGACGTTTCAACGGGAAGACAATGTTCTTGTATGTGTTCATAGTTTTGCAATTGCAGATTGGTAGCTTGAAAAAATAACGCATATGTACAGCCTGAAGAATTTTGCATTAGGGTGACAAGTTGCATCACATCACTGCAACGCTGCTGTGACCTAATATCTGTTATACGTTGTGAAAATGAAATATCTACTCGCAGCACTCATATATCTATTAGAAATGACTAGTATATATAGAGTAAAGACTAGGTTCAAGTCTGCTATGATAGACAGCAGTCAGTTATGACACCATACTCATAAGCAGTTAAGTGACAATCAGGTACAAGTCTACCTTGATTGACAGCAATCAATCAGCAAAAAAATTTACACGCTAGAAACAAACACATTGTGCGCAGTTTACATTACAATGGCTTTGTTAATATAAACATGAATCTTACATTATCATGTACTATTATCAACTATTATATGAATAAAAATGTACATTTTAGCTGGACTTTCGTGCGAATAATGTTACACAAGTTGTCTGAATGAGTTCTGTATGATGATATAGGGCCAATATTCAACGAGTTCCCACCATAACATGTAACCAGTTAGAATGGAAATGCTAGAAACGTTAGGCTTTTTCAAGGAACAGTAAGTAAACAATGAATGAGAGTTTATGTAAAAAGGCCGGCAGAAATTCTGTCAGACAAGAAATGTGCACAACCCCTCTTCCTTGGCATTTCCTTGATATTCCCGCCATTTTCTGTGAAACTATGCGAAGGTTTTTAAAAAACTTCTAAGTGAATTCAAAGGATTTATACTAAGTTGAAGATGACACAACTTACCTGAGATACGGCAAATTTAAAATCAATTCAGAACTTACTTTTGCTTTCGTTTTTGCAAAGTTTACAAAACCAACAAACCACCGGTGCTTGGGAACCACTCATACCGAATATAAMAATGATTTTAATTGGCTAATATTTCGAACAACCAATCGCACGCTTCGTTATATCACAACACTCTGTCCCATGTCTCCACGTGAACGAAAGGTCTTTCTTTCTAAAATTTCTCAAGGAGTTGAGCGGTTGTCTGAAAAAACTCTAGGTTTTTTGAAGCTGTGGGGATTTTTATCGGCAAAAATGGGTAGTGAATGCATGCAATATGAGTCAATTTGGTTTGACAGACATGTTTTTGACGARGCCGAGGAGTTGAATCAGATGTACCTCAATGGTCTTCCTCTACCAGTCCAAGATGGCCACCATCATCACGGTCATCATCATGATCACGGCAAACACCACGGCAAACAACACCATGATCATCATGATAAACAACATCATGAACACAAGCAACACCACGGCAAGCACCAAGATCACCATCATGGCAAGCAACACCACGACCATCACAAACAACATCACGGAAAAGTAAGATTTGATTTTAAACTCTTACCTGTAAATTTCATCTTTAACATATTTAAGATTATAGTCAGTAGTCTTAACGTAATGTGATTTGATAAAGTGTATACAATTTATATTAGATATTGTCCTACTGTAAATGCTCATTAATTTAATTGTGAAACGTACAATATTTTGTACAGTTATTAATACAGGATGATGTTGAACATCATCCAACATTATTTTATGATCCAAAAATATTGGATAACGGAACAGACAGTGCACTCAAGACTATAGTCTTGAGAATGAAAGATATTTTGAATATTTGGTCTTCAAACAACAACATTTTTAGGTTTTTACTTCACCGTGTTTAATAGAGTAGGGAAGAGAGAAATTGCCACACAGCTGTGATATAATAAATAATTTTTCCATCCTAAAATTGAATTAAAAAAAGATACAGTCAACTCTCTCATAAGCGACCACCTCGGGATCAGGAAAAAGTGGTCGCTCATGAGCTCATTTTTACAGAGTTTAAATGGGAAACAATTATAACAGGAAATTTAAAAGGTGGTCGCTTAAGGTAGATGGTCGTTTATGAGAATGGTTGTTCAAAGAGAGTCAACTGTGTCAAGTGATTGATGCAACTGTGCGTACCCAAGCCTCCCACCCCTCTTGGAATGCGTCAGTAGAGGGAAAAGTGTAACTGGTGAAAAGGGGATAACAATGGAAATTAATAACTAGCTGTTATTGACTGTAGCTTCAATATCTTTTTGTGCATTCAAGAGAGAAAATTGAATGCAAAATCTACATATTGTTAAGTAGGGTCTTGAATTAATGT